CGATAAGGCCACTTCGAGACACCTCGCTACATTCATCTAACAATCGATGATCGTAATCGAAACAGACGGAAGCTAAAACCGTTTCAAGGGGATGCTTGAGTTTTTTCCACGGCATGATTACTTTGAAGGCATGGACATGCATCTAATGAATGCCCTTCCGAGATCAAGAATTGCATTACTTCGAATGGGCATTTCGACCAATGAATAGCAGAAACCTCACAGTATAGTCGAAGGAACAATAGCACGACCCTGGGGTACAGAAATACAATGTATTCATAGCCAAGCGAGCAAATGCTTGATTTAGCTAAGTGCGATTAACCAAATTACTAATGGCTAAATAGAACGAGCTCTAATTAATGTTGTCGTCTTGCATTTTTGCACTCTATATTAATTGTATAGAGGTTTTCACAGCCACCTAATTCGGATATCGCTATCATAATGGATATATTATGATCATTTATTTACGAAGCGAAACAATGATGGAAAGGCGACATCGTGAGCACCAAGCCGTCTGCCTCTACAATATATAATAAGGCTGGTCATTTTTTTACTCTGCTCGTCGCCGACCTCTGGCAATAAACACGAAGTGCTTCATGTTTTGTAATAGTGGCGCGCATCGTTAGCGCACAAGATCGTCTCGCGGTAAAGGACTTGGAAATCGTTGCCTATGGATTTTACCAAGCTGGAATCTAAAATGAAAGATCAATAGACTGTTTAAATGCACTGCCAGCAGTCAACTAACGCATTGATAAACACGAGAATAAAATGGAATTGCCTATTATTATAATTGTCAAACAAAGTATCTTTGCAACAACATTGTCTGTCTACATGCGAGTAAACATGAAAGGTCTTAGATAAAAGAACGCGAATGCAGCCTTGCATACTGTCAAATGACAACCCGGAATAAAGCTAAGCCTTTGTCGGACCGTCTTCGTTTGTGTTCTGTTAATTATGAGCCTTTGACCTCTAAGCTAAAAGCTGAGCAAACGAGTTTTCTTGATCCCCTAAATCAATCAGAATCCGGAGTTCCCCTAATCCGCGATATCTATTGCTCGGCTACTACACGAGAGAGATTAGCTAACTTCTTTCCTCCATAATCCACCAACTATTCTTGTGTCCTCAGCTTAACTTGAGATTACCAATTTTAGACACTCTCAACAAAACTAACAATGACCGCACATTTTCCGAGCCCCAGTGGGCCCAAGCAGGCAAAGGAGATCCGCTCCAACGAGCGTATGCTTGCCATAGGCATTTTCTACTAAAACGGAGCCAATAAGAAACTCCGAAAAAATGTGCACACAAAAACAGGAGATCGAACCCCAATACACGAGTGTCATTTCACCAGCTGCAAAAGCAGCGGCAGCAGCAACAGGTAGCGGCCGCTATCGTTTCTTTTTCCTTTGAGTGCTTTAGTGGACCTTTTGTTAATGGCACAAGTAGCATGTCGAATGAGTACGCCAAAAACCGTCTTTCTGAAGAACGCCAGGCCTTCTTCAGACAATGCTACTTCTCTCTCGACAAGCAGCTTTCCTGTTTTCCTGGCTGCAGTCTTTCATCATTTTAGTAAAATAGACTCTAATAGTCAATTTATTATTTCTCGCCGTTTGCTCTCGAAAACTCTCCTTCTCTCTCTCTCTCTCGTTAGCTCCTCTTCCTCGCTGTGAAGTTCGGGCACTCATACAGACGAACCTGGTACCTTTATGCCGTGCTCATGTATGTGTGTGCTCCATCGTGTGCTTGGGTGCTGCTCACACAAACAGTCACATGGCCAGCTATCTAGCCCTATATAACCGTATTTAATAGCTCTACTGCAGCCAGCTGCCTCTGCTTGAGTACTATACAGCTACAGCGGCTGTTCTCCACGAAGCACCTGTGTGTAATCCTTGTGCCTGGTCCTACGGTCTGCCGGTTTCTCGTTTTCTTCTGTTTGTCCTATACCTGCTACTACTAGAATCTTAGTTCTTCCTGCTGTCGGTACCGCCGCTGGCGCCGATATAACTTGCCTTTCTAGAATTGTGATCTCTCCTCGGCGAACGAAAGGCCTTCGTTTGGTTCCGGGAGCAGCTGTAGAAATACCAGCAGCGGAAGCAACGACAACTACTTAGGCTTTACCTGCTTTTAGCTCTCTCTCGGCGTTCGAACGTCGATGCCCTGAACATCATTGGTTCGTTGTCCTGAGCGTCGTCTTCAAAGGTGCTCCTCCCGCTCCACTGAAGGAGCATAGCCAATGCAGCTGTCGCTAGCGTCGTCTTCTCCTAGTCTTTTTTTCGAGAGTACGTTTCTTGGGGTTCATCCTTTTTCTTTGATGTCTCTATTTTTCTTGAGAAAATCTCCACTAATGAGAGTTTTCAACCTCTGGGGCGGCTTTGAGTTTGAACCAAGTGAGTCAAACGGCCACGCTTGTTCCCTTCTCCCCATCCGGCACAGATGACCCACCCGAAAAGAAGGGACAATAGCAAAAAGGAGGTGAAAACGACCAAGCTATGAGAAGATTTTGTGGATGTACCAGGTTCGGAAGTAGGCGACGGCTGAGAAAGGATGAAAACGACAGCGTCCGAGGTCAAGCAGTTGCAATGCTGAAGCGCAGCCCCACGTAAGAGCCGCTACTGGTTGAAGTGGTACCCTGAGGCATCAGCGGAGAGAATGAGTCAGTGACAGATTAGCAACGACAGCACGATATCAACTCATCGTCATCGTCGTCGTCTAACCTACGAGCGTCGAGTGCATAACAGCACGAAGAAGGAAATGGCATAGAAAGAATCCGGAAGACATTATAGAATTTTAAAGTGGAATTTTGCTAAAATAGGTTATTTTTGGAAATTTTGACTAGATGACAAAATAGCATTAGATTCATAACTGCAATAGCTCTTTGGGAAGCTGAAACTGATGCATAAACCCTGCACATGGTGAAGCTTAAATCTTCTAAGCAAACTATATACGTACGGGATGTTCGAAATAAAAGTGAAACAATTTTATCTCATATCTTTCGTAACGAGTACTTATTCATTTGGTACCCTAACGAGGGCTGCTCCTTCTAAGTGAGAAACCTGAACGCATCATAGTGGAAGCGAGAGTTTGTTTTCGACCTTTGAGCTAAGATCAGTTATTATCGAATGGCTTAGCGGCGAATAAGCCTCTACCAAGATTAGAGACTTTATTACAGCCTGAGTGCGCGACTGCCTTACCAGAACGGAAAAAAACAACATAGAAAACCCGCTTTAAAGATTTCATAACTAATTAGAAGGCTGTAAAGGCGAGCTTTAGATGATCCTAAATTCAAATGAGATGTTGTATACGGTGCATGAGTTGAATCGTTCGTAAAAACCCCCCAACGAAAAATAGTACATCCTCAAATTTAAGCAAAAATCCCCATTTGCTTCTGAGTTCTTTTAGGCGGACAACAGCGGGCCGTTTCCAATTCGTTGTCGAAAATCAAAAATACCCATCGCCGATGCAATGATCGATTGCAGCAGCAGCACCCGTTGACTTTCCCGCGATCCAGAGTCTATAACGATTTTGAGTAGAAGTAATTTTTAAGGCAATGCTTACGTTCGGAGTAACGCATTTAGTGATGTCGTCGTATATATCCTTTAATCAAACGCGTCTGTTACCAAATAAGTCAATTTGAATACTTTATAAATCATGACGAAACCATACAGCTTTTGTTGCATCGAATAGTAAAACATACGTACTTCAGCAGAGCGGTACACCCGCTGATAGCGTCATGTAGCGCTGGCTGGCTGGCTGGCTGGCTGAGCATGTGGATATGTTGTGAAACAAATATATGGGCTACAGCCCAGATTTAAATGCATTGTGTTATTGCGCATGGGACGCAATTAAGAAAATATAAAAGATAAGAACAGTAACGCTTTGATACGGACATATGGGTGGTTTACGCCGGGAAGACGCCGTGATCGAAGCGAGTGCCAGTTACATTGAACAAAGCTGTCCATTAGAGTCGCCTCTGTCAGTAGTATATTGATTCACAAGCAGCTTAAGCATAAGCCACATCCTCTGTCATCCCTCAAACGCTCCGGGCATACACAGATAATTGAGCTTCATTTGAAATCTAAAGTTCTTAAGCAATGTATAAGAAACTGGTCTATCTTTTATTTTGCGAAACACTCTTAAATCATTATAATCGTTTGGGTATATAGGTTACATGCTTGGAAAACGCAAATATTCTAGATACCTTCTTACTACAGAAAAAAAAAGTGTTTTTCCTTGAAGTAGTTGTTGTTTATCATCACAGATGTGCAACGCTAAACCAAGGCGCCAAGGCTAGACTGAAAGCACGTTTAAATGCATATTTTTTTGGATAATAAATAAAATTGAAAAAAAAATAAATGTCAAAAAAAAAGCTGCGCTTACGCGCAATCAGTTCTGCTAATAGTGTTTTTGGCTCCATGAAAACGGTGTTACCTAGAGTCTTGTGTGTGATAACAACATGCTTGTGAAAGAGGTCAACCCTCGACTTGGGTTAACGCATACAGGGTCACCGTTATGTTTAGAGCCGTAGAGTAGATGAGTCGTAATTATTTGTGAGCTTGACTAACAATGACAATATAGCGGATGAACGTCTTTGCCAGTTTATATACATGTAATGCAGTTTATAGCAACAATATACTTAAATCTTAGCTTGGTTATATAGATTTTAACGTTTTTCTATGCCCTACTGAAAATTGCTCCATGACAAAAACTCAAACAAAGACTATTGTTCTCGTACAGTCGTTGCTGCTTGTGGTACCGAAGCATAAGTTCCTCAGAAAAAAACTATATTTGAGCGAAGATATCGTTGAGGCTGGGTTCTCAGTCGTCTATTTTTTTGATACTGACGATTGGATGCAATAGAACAGAGAAAAGAAGCAAGTTTTAGACTCTCCATTCTGCTTTGAATTTAGCAATAAGTCTAGGCAACCTCTGATCCGTTCTCTTGCATTTTTACCATAATCTAATTCTTGCTATATTTCTCGCTTGACGCACCCGCACCCGATACCAAGCTCGCCAGCACTGGTGAACATGGAGCGTATTGGAGACCTTACACTGGATGACATCAGAAAGAACGTAGTAAAGGAGGGCCCGCGCCCCTTGAGGAGCACTACACTAGATCCGGATCAAACGCATTATGCGTGATCGTGAGTATAACAACAGCAGCAGCGGAAGCAGGCACGAAACTAACTGCTGCCTCTATGCGAACTTCAAACTTCCTCATAACTTGTGACCAGGAGAACGCAAATGAGCGTGCATGCCAAAATGCGAGAAAATAGGAGATAGAGGGAGCTGGCGGTATGAAAGAGTCACTTCTTCCCCTGTTCCCAACCGAGTGGCAAGTTGCTATGTTAGTAACAACAACAACACAAGCGACTCATAACAAAGGCTAGGCCAACTTAACGAAACTCAACTTCTGCCACAATGAGCCCGCGAAATTCCAAAAAATAACCGCGTTCACCGCCACACACGAGAACCAGTTACACAGCCCATGCTACTCCTAACTTTGCTAGTCGCTTGATGCTGTCGTCCTTCGTTCTATGTGACCATACAGAACACGAATCAGGACCCGCTGTTTTCTCACTCTTTTGCTATAGTTGCAGAGAACTATTTCTCTTCTACTTGCCAGTGGTAGCAAACGCAGAGGATCATATGAGGGTCGGAATGGCTTTGCCTGGGGGTGACGCCAAAACTCCTTTTACTTTCCCTCTTGTTTTTTCCTCTCCTCAATTCCGCTAGTATCACTAAAGTGCGCGATTGAGAAACGCCGCCTTCCTTTGCTTTCATAGACACAGTGTGCCAGTTTGCCTGCGATGACGCGCAAAGCCGACTGTAGGCCTGAGTGGGTACATATTACCGTGATGGTCTGTTCAGTGTGGTGTACCAACGCAGGCAGTGGACGGGTACTCGCACGAGATAAAAATCCAAGTGAGCGGCATGGTATCGAACAGAGTCGAGCTAGTCAGTAGAACTGTGGCGCCGCAGCTATCACCGTCGGTACAGGAATGATACGGGAAACACGCTTTGCGGGTCCTCGTGCTTATGCTTGATGCCATGTTCTACGGCGGGCGTATTCGCGTGTTCAAAATACACGTCGTAATGTTTTTGGGCATTGACAATGAGCGATGTCTGCCGCGACGTACGAGGCTGGCTAAAGGGCATGCGAAAATAGCGAAAGTGTTTAAGGTTAAGGTGTGCGACCTCATCCCACGACCTTTCACCACTCCCGCGTCAATACTCGATTAACTTCCTGTGTCAAATCACACAGGACCATATATGCGTCCGCATGAATATGCGAGGCGTGTAAGATTGATTGGTATTGTCGAAAGATCCAGTGAAAGAATAAAATTAGTTATATCGAATTCGGAGGCTCTTTAATAAAAGAAAAAAGTAATTTGTAAACAGTAACTGTGAATTTTAATGATCTGTAAATGAAGTACGCGGTAGTATCGTGCTGAAGACGCGTTTCCGAGAAGACCAAGGAATTTTTGATTGAACTCTGCCGGCCCCCACTGCGTAGTCAACATCAAGCACGTTAGTAACCCCCAATATTTGTTACCGATTTCTTCATCAAGATCCAACCTTTTCAACTCAACAGATTCTAGAATCTGAATTTCACTTTTTGATTGCCTGAAACATGCCGTCCTTCCAAATATTTCGAATCTCAATTATCAGATATATTCTCTATGGTACTTCGGTATTTTACTCTTCTGGAAACTTTTACCCCCCGACTTTCCTTCTCTGAAATTAAGTCTCTTTCCCTCCTATTGTCAGCCAATCGTAAATCACAAATGTTAGGGATTTTATTAAAGTATGTAAAAATCTCATTTATTTGGTACACCAATGTTAGTTATTAAAATATAAGCAAATGCAAGGTTTTTATATGAATAATACACTTTAAACGATTTTCGAGGTTTGGCCGCGACCGAATCTCTTCCGTTTGGGAGCTTCCGTAAAAAAAATGATGTAAAAAACAGTATTCAAGATACTTGAACTCCCTTTAGATGTTAGCATACATTAGACTGTAAATCGTATAGAATACCACATAAGTTGATCTGTAACGTGCAGATGCGCCGTAAACGTTCTAGTCTGAGTCAGTTTTAAAAAGGTGTCTGTATTAAGCAAACGCAATTAATCCGAGGTGTATTATATATAACAAGCCCACAACAATACCTATTGAAGAATAGCTTCCGAGAGAATTTATAAATAGTCAACAAATAGAGACCTCAATATACGATTTTTTGCGTAATGCGTACTAAATAATAAAGAATTCTAGCTTGTAAATTCACCGAAACCGCGTTTCAGATTCGCAGTATCCTTATCAATAATATTATACCTTAATTGTTACAGATTTCCGTGATTCGTCGAATGACGCCCGGAGAAGCATTGTTATTACGCGGAAGCACCCACATATGCATAGCAACTAGCCTATTTGCTGCTAAGGATAGATACACCACGGCCAAACTTAACCCACGTTGCCCATTTCGGTCTAGAAGCCGTTCGTTGCTAGGTTCTTCAGGGCATTTTACTTATACAATTTGTACGTGCATATATATATTGATAATGCTACAGGTCTATAACAGTGGGTAAGAGCAAGGCAACATCGGTTGTTCTTTAACCACTGAAAATGTACGAGTCTCAGTTACTTCCAGCCAACACTCACAGATAGGATTCCGTATCCTTAGTAAGCATCAACCACTGGTAGGGTCAAGTAGCAATCCACAGTCAAAAAGTTCGTTTTTCAAAAAAACTAAATAAAGTTACGAGCAAATAGTGGCTTTTTGTTGCCTCGAACATACGAGTTGATCTTAGCCACCAAAGCACATAAACATGTGTTGTAGTGTTTAAAATTAGTAGAGCTAGATTGTTCAAAGCGTACTACTCTGTCTGCTGTGCATGGCTGTTAAGTTTCTGTAAACGTAGTTTTTTTTTAATAAGGAGCAACGTTTAATCGACAAGCAGTACCTTAGCAGCATTAGCTTAAGTACTACTAACGGCCTAACGATGTAATAGGCACAGCTTCTGTCTTTGGGGAACTTCAATGTCTTTTCATCTCTTCACATCTCGAGACATGCTTTGCTTAATAGTATCTCTCGCGTGAGTATTTCTGAAGGCTATGTTGTCTAGAACGTGACCCTGCGTCGTCAACTTCGATCGAATAAGTATGTATGTGTATTCGTTTACGTTGATGTCCTTATAGTCATAAGAGGCTGTATGAATAATGCTGCTATCTCAGATCATTCGTGACGGGCAGGTGAAGGCAACGACAACGATGATACTTGATTTATTCAGAAATGCTTTCTTATTTACCATCACTTAGAAAATCAAACCAACTCATTTGACATTAGGCCCATGTAGGAAGTTATCATGCAATATTCAAAGGAATATGATTCAACACGCGCTCACAACGTAAGATCGTAGTCGTTGCCTCTATTACGGAATTAAATCCATAGTGGAAATGAATTTTTCATTGAACCGTGCATGTCATCATTACGACTTCGCGTAGGTAGACAGTGCAATACGATAGCGAAAAGTAAACTTGTTTAGGGCCATTTGGATTTCAGATTTCATGCTCTGTTCGTCTGATCCGCACTACGGTCATAGATAACAACATCTACATCACCTACATACGTTTCCTGGTAAAGTCGCTTCGATCAAAGGCAGTTAGATTTAAGTTTAAGTCATAGTCGTGCATAAGTTGAGCCTCTTTAGAAGTCAAAATTACGAATGAGATTCATTTAGTTGTAAAATTTAACTTCAATTATCAGGTAACCTTTGCTATTTTCAAGCAAGGTTAACGATTTGAACTACTTCGTGCTATTTGGCATGCAAGGGCACATTGAACGTGAATAGGACAGGGGCAACTATTTCAAAAAACAGCAATGGCCTAATGCAGCAGAAGCTATAGGAATACATATCGAATGCTCTGCAAATGACAAAAGCCCTTCTAGTACGGTTGTTGCCCACTAGGTATGTAGTGCTTATCTGATGGAATGCTTAGTGACGGTGCCGGATGTAAAACTCGAAACATTTAGGTATGTAGTGCTTTTCTACAGCTGCTCAGTAACCCCGTGCTGTAGTCAAGTCCTGGGTTCCATTGCCTACTTATCTCTCTCTCTTCGGTTTTTTCTGTTTGTCTTCAACCTCTTGCACTGTTTTCCTAGACGTTCTTTCTCCCCTTGCACTTCATGTGGGTTTCCTCTAGTGCCCCCACAGTTGCAGTTGGAACAATGTTAGTTAGCTACAGATTAGTTCAATATTCATCAGCCAGTAGCAGGAGTGGGTGCAGGTAAGAATTTACCAGGGCCACGGGAGGCCGGGTAACTATAGCGCCACCTACGATTACGCGACACACCATTAATGACTGAACTGCATAACTTCTTTTGCTGCACTTGCCCGGACATACGTTTTGCATAACCCTTGCGTACCTTCATTTGGACACCCTGAAGCTGATCACGCGGTTCTAAATCGAGGGATCACATGCTTGCAAGGTGATATGCCTGCGGCCTGTTTTTCAGCCAGGAAGGTAGTCAGGGAACATTCGTCCAGTGAACTTTCCTAGAGTCTCGGGGCCTCAGTATTAGTCGTAAGTGACACTGATGCAGTATTGATGCCAGCAGAAATAGCAACGATAGTACCGCGCTACTGAAATAAATACCAGCAACGGCAAGAGCGGTGGCTGTGAAGGAAAGAAACATTGAGCTGGGTTGTCTGAGTTCACCTTTGCATTCCAAACTCAATGAGCAAAGGGATGAATGGATGAATTAGTGCGAAGCGAAGAGATCACTATGGGCTAAACAGCGGAAAAAACTCGAAGGAGGCAATGGAAGCGAGGACAACGATGAGCGGCAAACGGACATTAGCAGTGGCATCTAGCAGCTGGGGGAATAGCGACGGGTAAGGAGCAGCCAGTCTCGTACGATGGATACAAAAGAAGGCGACTCAAAAAGGAAGATCCGTTTTATCTGCCTCTATCACTAGGAGAAGCCAGAGGAACGCCGGGGCAATCCGAGCAATGTTCGTGAAAAGACGGTGTAGCAACGGTAACTAAATGATCAAATGAATAAGTTTTAATGACTGAATTCTCGACTCTCTCTCTAGTTAGTCTACTGCAGCAATGATGGCGACAGCGATGGCAGCAGAAGCA